GTCCAAAGGTTTTCTTTTTGGTTTTCCTGAGTGCAGTGTCCAAAACCAAAAAACCAAAAAAAACACCAAAAAAAACAGACTCACGGATTGCAGAGGGTCTTGGGTTGGTTGGGTTGTTTTTTTTTGGTTTTGTAGATTGAGACACTGAAGACACTGAAGCATTTAGTATAATACACTCACTGAAATATAGTGTTTTTGCACTACTCTACTAGATATGCAAGAATACAGTGAAATATTGACAGTTTTAGCGCACGCTGGTGGTAACGTGTTCTGAGAAAAAACTACCAGAGCAAAGGTTCAGGTGTCCAAGCAACGTGTATGTAAGTGAAAACGCGTCAATCATACATCCTTCAGTTTTTGTGTTTTGTTGGCGTTGTGTCCAACATGTGCCGGGTAACCCTAACAAAAACTTGAATTTTTTGCGGTGGGCCAATCCCGTCCAAAACATTTCAGCCTCCAGCTTTCCGCGTGCCCTTCTGCTCCACGCCCACTCTTGATTGATTGCCTGCCTTTGTTGGGCCATTTGTTGGGCATGTCGCATTTGATTTTTCATCCAGCTGTGTGACAAAGCCATGTTGCAATCTACTCTTTTGGCATGTGTCTTCGTCCTCGTGGCCCTTTTTGCCCGAGAAGACCGCGCAATATATCGCAATATTACATTAGTCAATTGAAGGAACTACCAAGTAACTGCCACCATTGGCCACCATGTTTTAATTGAGTGCATTGCGTTGAGTCCCATTCACTCTCATCAACCTGACCATGGCCAAATCTGGGGCTTCATGCGCGGAGATGGTGCAGCCCGGCACAGCCTCCTCAGCTAGTCTTTCCGTGGAAGAGGCTGAGGCTGATGATATTGGTATGGTCAAAGCCCCAGAGATGCTTTTGAACTTAATTGTTGGAGGTCTGGGGACTGGCATGCTGAGCCTCCCGTGGGCAATGGCTGGAGCTTCCATTGTCGTTGGCAGCTTGATCATCGTGCTCGTTGTGGCTGTGAACTTGTGGACTATCATGATCCTAGTGTATGCAGCCGACAGGTATGGGGTTTACGATTTGGGTGCGTTGCTCGGAAAACTGCCCGGCAAGCTGGGTCCAGGCATGCAAATGTTTGTCAACATGATGGTTTGGGTAGTGCTTTTTGGGAGTTTGCTCAGTTACATTATTGGCATTTGTGATTCCGCCCAACCATTTATTCGTGGCACCTTTCTTGAGCAGCGTTGGGCGATTGCAGGATTGGCATCGCTCATTGTCCTTCCGCTGTGCTTTCTTGATCAAAAATATTTGTCCTTCTCCTCTGGAGCTGCCATTTTGGTCAACTTGTATTTGATGGGGCTGGTGGGGATGGAGTTCGTAGACAAGATCGAGAAAGATGAATTGCCAGAAGGCATTTGTGAATTTGGCTTAGCAAAGGGTTCCGTAACCATGGTCAGCGCAATGATGCAGAGTGTCATCATTCAGATGTGCGTCTTGCCGATGTACAAGGAGTTGGAGAACCGGTCACCGGCAAAATTTGCAAGGATACTCATTGTTGCCTTTTCCACCCTGGCTGTCCTCTTCATTTTCCTGTCAGTAGCTGGTTATGCAGCATTCGGGCCGCAGGTGGAGTCCAATTTGTTGCTGTCGCTGCCACGCAACACTGCGATGAATATTGTGCAAGCTGGAATGATCATAGTCCTTGCTGCAGTGTACCCCGTAATGATGATTGCAATGATAGCGCCTGTCAAGAACCTTCCCTTGGAACGCTTTGGCTCAGGGCAGGGTGCAATTCGCAAGAAATCCTTGGCAGTTGCAGCAATGACAGTTTTCTTTGTGGTGGCGTCGTTCCTCACAGCACTTAAGGTGAATGAATTGGGCCTCGTGAATGTTGTGGATGGAGCTTTGTGCATCGGTGTATTTACGGCTTTGGCTCCTGGCCTTGTGGGGTTGATGCTTCTAGGCAGACAATCCAGGACCTGGAGGCTGGCCATGGCCCTCCTACTTTGCGGTGGTGCCATTGCCACTGGGTTGGGCCTTGTTTTCACAAAAAATGAGTACGAACTTCTTCAACAGGCATGCAGGGTACCGTCGAAAGGAGCTGGTTTGCTTGCGGCATGGCAGCCATGGTTTTGAGCTTTTGAGTTGAGTTTGTCTCGCCTGTTTGCTGCTTGGGCGGCTGATTCACTCCAGAGGCAAGCTTGCACACAAGCCTTGGGGCTTCTTGGGGCTTGGCTCAGCACAACGCACGGAGGGACAGGAGTAACTCAGAGGTCAGAAACTTCCTAATTCAGAGCACACTGCGTGCAGCCCCAGTTGGGGGTTGTGAGTGTGCACCCTGTGCAAGCCTGCGCGTCTGCGAAGCAGGCATTGCCGCTTTGTGTGGCCGTAGCAGCTCATTTTGCATTCAGTTCATTCTTACCCTTTTTGCTTGAGTTTCACAATCTTTTCAGAGTTGAGTCCATGGCAGCACGAAAAAACTCCAAGACAGTGCCAGCAGAAGTCCGATTTGAATTGTCGACAAGTTATACTCTTGGGAGAGTGGGTGTTGGTTGAATTGGAACTAGGGTGACGAGAATCGGACAATCTATATTTATATCTATATACATATTTTGATGGAGAAGCAGGTCGCACAAAAACTTGCCGTTTGTTCGGTCAGCCTCTCCAATAGCCCTCCCCCAGAAGATAATACAAAAGGCTTTAAACTTTATATATTAATATATAACGCGTTTGGTCCTGAAACTTTGATGGACAGGAGCCAATGCTGCCGTTTCGTACTGCATTGCTGCCTGTCCTCGAATCATTTGCAACTTCCTCCATGCAGTCCAACCATGATACAGCATACATACATACATACATACATGGCTCAAGGCCGTTAAGCTCTCAAGGTGGCAGCCCGTCAAGTCCACCTAGTGTGGAACTCCCCTTTCGAACATAACCGGGAGTTTGCCATCACCTAGAGCTCGGCCATCACCGATTACAACACATTCATTGCCCGCAATCTTGCTCTTCCACTTGGCCGTTATTGTTGACCTCTTCGGCACCTGGCTGATCTCGCCACTACCTCCTCGGGGAACTGGAGGTGACTGGCACTTCAGCTCAGACTCTCTCTTGGGCCTGATTGTGTTCGGTGATCCGATCTTTGCCTACTTCAAGCTCTACTAGCTCATCCTTGAGGTGTCTCGAACCCTGGACTATGACGGCCTTCAGGGCTACCTCATGGTGCAGGAGCTATGTCACTTGCCGGCAAAGCCAGTGCACCAACTGGATATGGCAGGACAAGCTCAAGCCCGACACCAGATGCCGCCAATGTGGCACATGGTGGCCAGCTCTCACGGTCACCCAGGGTGGCACGGGCAAGGGCAAAGGTCAAGGCAGACCCACCAAAACGGAAGCAAGACAACAAGCCTCCTGGCTGGAAACACCACCCGGCCTTGGCAAGCTGAAGCCTTTGAAGAAAACCAAAATCCAGAAGGAAGCCACGGACCTCCTTGAACCAGTCTGGAGTGGCATGTCCCATGAACTACAGGACAAACTCCAGCACCTCGGCATTGGCCCCAAGAAACCGCCAGAGCCTGATCTCCATGAGATGCTGAAAACACACATGGCAGCACTTCCGGCACAGGTCCAAGAGGTGGTAACCCGCCTCACGACACCAGCCCCGGCTTCAGAGCAGGACATTGCCATCAGGCTGAAGGGACAGGTCACTGACCTCAAGAACCTCTCTACGAAGAAAACTCAGCTACAAGAGAAGCTTGATCAAACCAAGCTCCAATACCAAACCCTTCTCCAAGAAATGCAGGACCTTCAACAGAAGCTCAATGAAGGACAACAAGCCCTTAAGCTGTTGTCCGAGGACTACATGAAGGCCGTCAACAAGGAGACGAAGCAAGCAGACTTGGATTCCGGCATGGACATCGACACATTGCCTGCCGCAGTGGAAACCTTTGTAGCCAATCTTGGAGTCTCACTATCGGATGAACAGAAGACACAGCTTCATGGGCTCCTCAAGCGACCCAATGATACGGATGGTGACCTCTCCAAGCGCAGGAAAACAGACAGCCCGGCCAAGACAGCACCTCCAGGGTCGGATGGGTAACATGCACACCATGCCACAAGGGTTTCAGGGACTCCAGGTGCCGGTCCCCGATGACGATTTTGAAGGAGCACCAACCACACTTTTGGTTTGCCGCGCTGCCTCAAACCCAGCACCGGCGGGGACTCAGCAAATGGACACTTGTGCAGGGGACAGGTCACAACACCATTTGCAGTACATTTCTCAAAACATCTCCAGGGAAACCTCTAACAAGAGTGCGGGGACAAGTTCTTTTGTTCAGGAGGTTCAGACTCCAACGCAGGAGCACAATTTTGCAACACCTCACCCTTCGGCCGTGGATGAATCCGCCCTTGGTGCACCTGGGCCAGAAGTGGTGAAAATTCACGGGGGTGGAGCATCGAAGCCACCCCAATCAGGCCACAAAAACAAAGTCGCCATGCAGAGCACTTTCGCCTCGACAACGGAGTGCATCTTGCAGAACCTCACCATGACAGTGGGCAATCCTAGTGCACGATGTTTCGCCAATGCACCATGGCGAGCTTTCACCTGGACATGCGCCTTGCTGCAGGAGACCAACATGCAGCCATGGGGAAATCTCCAACTGGCGGTTCAAGAGTCGCTCGAACTGGCCGAAGCAGTTGATATCCGAGCGCTCCCAGGCCTTCATCCTCTGTGGGCAAAGCATGACCTCAACATCCAGGGAGATGCGAACCACTTCGTGAACACGTTGTGGAATCATTCCCAAACGAGGGCATTCCACTACAGGTTTGCTGAGATCCAAGAAGCAGGCTATCTCAAGGATCACATCCAACAGCCAATCTTGGTTGATTTCCCCGATGACTGGCCGGAGAACACCAGCCTACAAGATCTCTACAATGGGTGGGCCAACACGGGCCTTGGACAATTTCTGCTGGATGACAAGCCTGTGCTGATCACCCACATTACACGCAACACATGCGTGGAAGGGATCATGACGAAGCACGCCAAGATCCTCAATCCATATGGAACCTTCACGGTTCCTAGATCCTTGGATGGCTTCGCCAGGGAATCCGCAGAGTTTGTGCCAGCAGCTCTGATTTGCCATCGGGGACCCAGCCACAACACAGGGCACTACTTCGCTATCCTCATCTACAGAGATTTGATGTGGTTGGCTGATGATGGAAGACCACCAGTCCATCTGGAACACCTCACTCCACTCCTGGCCAGCCAGGTCACCCAAATATGGGCGGTGCACATTGACACCTTCAGAACGACACAACAGATCGTTCGGTCACTCCCACCACCTGAGGAGCCGGACTATGACCCACCTCTACATCCGAGCCCAGAGAAGCGACAACGTTTCGAACAAGAACATAGCAAGTTGCACTTTGCCAACATCACCACCTTTGGCAAGCAATTTCTGGACTGGTTCTGGGCCCGGCAAAGCGAGGTGCGCATTTTTGTAGAGACCCACCTTGACCCTCAGCGTCACCAAGAGGTTTGCCAATATTTCAGCATACGAGGAAGAGTAGCCTTTGGAGCACCGGCGCAAGTCAACCAAGAAGGCACTGGCAACTCCGGTGGCATCCTCATTCTTGGTGACTAGGCCAGCGGGCTGACCCCAATTGCAGCCTACACCCAGCAGGGATGTGGATTTCAGGCTTTCCTGTGGCAGGCCACCGACTGCACCATCCTCGTTGCAGGAGTCTATCTGAAGACTGGGGAAGGCCTCCAAACTGACACCAATGCCACCATCTTGGCCAAGCTTCTGGCCCTGATCGAAGCCACCAAACACCCTTACATCCTACTTGGAGATTGGCAAAACAGCCCAGACAGCTTTACAGGCACGGTGCTACCTTCCAAGTTCCATTTTGATGTCAAGGCCCCAGATCACAGCATCCTCTCAGGCAACGTACTCGACTATGCACTGCTGCGCAACAACTTAGCACCAACCACGGCCTTAACCACCGATTGGGCTGTGCCTTGGCGACCACATGCACTCATCACTCTGCACCTCAACATTGAAGCAGCCACCAAAGAATACCGGCAGATCCAGTACTACCCTCCGCTGCCAGCAACTCCTGACATTGATTTTCGGCCTTGGACATCCTACCAGACACAAGCCTACGAGATTGAGTTGTACGGCATTCCGCCAAATGAGCAGGCACAAAAATGGGCGGACTGGATCTCTTGCACCGAGCAATACCTCCTCCAGGAGCACCCTTGGGCAGCTCAGGGACGTGGCGCCAGCCTGAAGGTCAGCATCAAACCCTTGGTGCCCACCCAAATCTCCACTACGTGGAAGAAAGGAAAGCCAGCCTTCTGGGAACAGTTGAAGGCCAGATTCCAGCTCGCGATGAAGCAACCGGCCATGAGACAAACAGGACCACTACGTGGTTTCATGCAGGCCCTACAAGATGTTCCAAAGCATTGGGTCGGCCCGCCAACTTGGGGCCAGTTCATGGACACCAGCCACCACTGGCACCGCTACAGAGATCCCCATGCAGCAGATCTGGTGCTTCAAACCATGGCACATCAACTCCAAGAAGCACAGCAGGCCGCCAATGATGAAGGCCATCTCCAGTACAAAGACTGGCTCAAGCAAGGAGAAGCCAAAGGGCTCAAAGGACTCTTTCGCAGTCTCAAAAGCAGTGAACTTGCCTGGGAGCGACCCTACAGAAACCTCCCACCGGATGAAAGGATGACGCAGAGGCTTCAAGACTGGGGTAAGCTTTGGCACATCAGGCAAACAGAGCAGCCACACGAGCGACCCAGTCTCCAACCACAGGCCAGACAACAAGCACAACAACTGGAACCCCTCACAATTGGCCACCTCGCCTCAGTACTCAAACACCTCCCGGATAAAGCATGCGGACCTGATGCAGTGTCAGCCCAGCTGCTCCGCACGGCACCCCCGTTGGCGCTTGGGCCTCTTCTCAAGCTTTTCCAAGACATGGAGCAACAGGCACAGCTGCCAACGCAACAACAGATGCACATGGTCATCATGCTGCCAAAGACCAGCACCAAGGAGCGGCCCATCACGCTCACTTCCCTGCTGTACCGTGTGTGGTGCAGACTCAGGAAGCCAGTGCTCGACCAATGGCAAAAACAGCTGCCCCCCACAATGCAACACGACAGAGCCAGACCGGGCGCCCAAGTCTTACACGTGGCTTTGGAGAGGCTATTCCGCCAAGAAGTCCACAAGGCCAATGGATGTCATGGAGTCACCTGCTTAATGGACATGAGCACTTTCTATGACACCATCAACCTCACCAGACTCCAACAGGAGGCACTCCGCCTCGACTACCCACCCCTAATGTTGGAGATGGCAATGCAGCTGTACACGGGGCCCAAAGCCATCCTCGCGGAACAGGAAATGACCCCATTTTTCACCGTCCAAAATGGAGTCCCAGCTGGTTGCCCCCAAGCACCCTTGCT